CCATTCCATCCATCCATCCATATATCATCCAATCATCCATCCATCTATATCATCCATCCATCCATCCATCCATCCATCCATCATCCATCATCTATCTATCTATCTATCCATCCATCTATCCATCCATCCATCTATCTATCCATCCATCTATCAGTCTGACTAACATTTATAATAACAACAACTGTCTTTATGTATTTTTAATCACAGCTGGAAAGAGATAAATGATCATATTGAATTCTGTTTGACGTTCTCCTGAAATCTTTTCATGTGTACGACCACCACAGTGTTTCCTCTGAAGTCGCCAGCCGCTCAGATGGAGGTCAGCGCGGATATAAAATCGATGTTTTCCTGTGTGGGTGGAGCCGGATCAGGGACACTGGCTGACCTTTCCCCAAAGTCATTTCCCCCCCCCCCCCCCCCCCCCCCCCCCCCCCCCCCTCGCCCCCTGCCAGCGTTATCGACTGCTCTCTGTCGTCCGGATCCGGGGCATCAGTTATCCCGATCAATAGAAAACACCCCCACAAAAACACCTCCGGAGAGGAGCTAAGAGAGTTCCTGTCGCTAACCGTCCAAAGGTGACCAAGAGTCCTTGACCCAACATTTAAAAAGCAGGTATCGCAAAAGATTCAAAAAAGCTCGGTACAAAAGAGAAGATAATTTCAAAGCAGATTTTACTGGACGCAACATTTGGTCTGTTGGGTTTATATCCGGAAAAGCATTAATATAGTAACAATTAGCAAACATTTAAATACCTCAGCTTACTTAATGTTGCTCTATAAAGCTGCTTTTTTGGATGTCATTCAACTATGTTTTAACATTGCACTTTGGCACTTCTTGCAGCATTATGTGAATTTACAATGTCTATTTTTTACTAATTTCTATCTCTTTAAGGAATTGAGTTTTTGTTAAATGTATTTTGTTTTTATTTGTTATTTGTTATTGCCTATGTAAAGCACTTTGAATTGCCTTTGTGTCTGAAATGTGCTATATATTACTCGACTAACCTTCCATTAGAGAGGATACCTTGCACATTGAAGGCTGAACGGCAGGTATTTGATTATACTTGAAGGCCCTTTATCAAGTATGTTAAAGATTTAGATGTAACTGACAGCAAAGGATAACTGATTGCACCAATGCAGTTTCAGAGCCTAGACTTGTTTGTCTTTTAATATTGTTGGTATCATTTCACCTCCTGCTCATTTTGGAGAAGCTACAGATTGTCTGCTGTTATATCTTCATGGTTCTTAGACTTGTAATCTTAACTTTGAGGACTTGGTGCATCCCAGGTTTTGGGGTAAGGTGCAGAAAGGTGATCCATAGAGCTCTGGGACACTTGCACAGTTTCCCCTTCTATTTTAATAAATAGCGTGGACGCATATTTAGCTTCTCTTCGATAGTATGCATTATGACTTCTGAAGAGATCTCACTGCTTGAGTATATTTAGTCGTTATTAGGCTTCTGCGTTTGACTCTGCTCTGTCTGATGTTTTTTGGTTAAACTTGACTTGACAGTATAGTTACAACTGGTCTTATGTTCTTTCTGAACAGAGGCGTGTGGCGCAGTGAGTTGTGCGTTGGTGTTCGGATCAGTGGGTCACAGGTTCAAACCCCACTGCAGTCAGCATGTTGTTGTGTCCCTGAAGACAGTAGTAGGACCACAGATGGAAATTAGCTATATTTCTTTGCTGAGATTAATGTTTTTGTATGCATGGTCCTTCTATAAATAAATACAAATTAAATCTTAAACCTCACCCCAAATTGCTCCTGGATTGCCCACAGTATTGAGTATGTAAGTCGCTTTGGATAAAAGTATCATGTAATGTAATAATGAACACACCTTCAAAGTAGAGGTATTCAGTGCCAGTGCATGAGTCTTAACTTTAAGAGAGTTTCCTGCTGCTATTATGAAGGGTTTCAGTCTGTTTATATGAGTGGTTTTGGAGCTGTTGGCTTGTTACGGATATAGCAGTATCTGCAGATATATCGACCAAACGATAACAAGAAACTGTAGAATATAAATTATAAATATATGTTAAAAATATGAAATGATGTCTCCATTACATGGTTTATCCGCCACATATTTGAAGTACATTTTTGCCGAAGACACATTTCATTAAACCTGTTCTCCATCCAATTCTACATATAATTAAAAGAACATCATAGCAATATAAATTGTCACCTGAAAACAAAATGACCAAGCTTGAGGATGTAAGCTCAGCCTTTACGTAGCCTGAGATGTTTATTGACATGTTTTAAATCTTAGAGCGTCTGTCTTTATGTATTTTGTTGGCTGGACGGACAGAAGAGACCGTTAACAGAGATTTTAGAGAGTAAATATATTTGAAACCAAAGGCAACGAAAAAACCAGTATCTATCACACTCTTGTGCTAACGTTTAGCCTGGTACCTGCTTCTCTCTACGGCCTGGTGCAGTCTGGGTAAACATCTCACAAGTGGAGCCTATTATCTGGCTGTACGCCGCGTATGAGTCATGTTTACCTGCAGGGGTTTGCTCAGCACGAGGCCATCTGAAGGAAAGGAGCTGCCTCGTCAGGTTACCTGCTGCCTACGCTCTCTCCGCCCCGAACAAACAATCCGATTGGCTGAGGACTCTGCTCCACGCTCCAATTAATGGACAAACACTCCAAACCCTATCCCAAAAATGACGGAAAGCATCTGTGTGGTGATATCATAATAATAATACATTTGATTTCTATAGCGCTTTTCTTGAACCCAAACACGCTTATGGATGGCGGGTGTATAGTTGGGAAACAAAGTAGTTCCTACCTGACAACAAGATCTGTGGATTATCATTATCATTTGGTTTGCTTTGAGCATGAGGAATACACTCTTCCTGTAGTGTGTTATATAGGTTTTAGTGCATGTAAATGGTCTGCAAAGGCTAAAATCCCTGTGTTCCCTTCAGAGGGAGTTTCTCTCCCACACACTCCCCCCCCTGAAAAGCCTTCAATTAACTCCTTTGTTTACTTCTGGAACAAAGTGACATCACTATGTAACACTTGTCTTCTATTGGCTAGCATTCCAACACACTTTAAATGACTCACAACAAGTCATGATTTCTGGAAAGAGACATCAGTTTTTCAAATGTATTTCTTTGTCATTTTTATCAACCACAACCACAGAGAAGGCAGACATCTCCATGGAAGATTTCTCCAACATTCAGCATCTCACACCAAAACAATCTGGATGCATAAATACAAATAGAGGTGAAAAGAACACAATGTATTTTAGATTTTGGGGTGAACTGTCCCTTTCATAATAATAAGGACATGTTATATATCATGCCCCCCTTTTGTTGAACTGGTCACAACCTGTAGACATGTGCAGCCTGACGATGAGTCACAACATACTGTGGCCTCATTTGAAGAGGTCAGAAAGGGAGCTTCTGCTAAACACACATGTATATGATTCAAGGACAACATGCAAACATGGCGTTAATAAAGAAATGTCACATGTGTGTGTCCATCAAAAACCTCCTCTGAACCCCCACTGCTATGATGACTGTCTCACATCTGCAGGAGAAACCTCAACCAACCTCTCCAAACGAGGAGGATGAAGATGATGAGGAAGGAGGATGAGGAGAAAGGCCCCTGAACCCCCTCATCATGACATGAGCCCATAACAACATCAGCACCGAGCATGTGATCAATAACAGCGGCGGCGCGCAAACAAGCGGCTAATCATAATAAATAGAGATGAATGATTTATTGTATATTATGTATTAAAGGGGGGTCAGGTGGTGTGTGTGTGTGTGTGTGTGGGGGGGGGGGGGGGGGGGGTACTCACTCGTCTGGGCGCGTGTCCTCGTTCATTTTTTCCCGTTTCACCTCCGGTAATAATAAGCTCCCGCCGCGGCAGCACGGTGCGGCGTCTTCATGTTTCCTCGCCCTTCAGCGGCAGAAGCAGCAGAAGCGGCGAATCCGGTTCTCCCCCGCGATCCTCTCGGTTTTTAAATCCCGGTGTGCGTTATGTGGTCTCAGATCTCCTCCTCTTCCTCCTCCTCTTCCCCCTCCTCCACCAACACCACCTCCTCTTCCTACTCTTCTTTTTCTCCTTTCACCCCTGAATTAGCCTACTGGAGAGCATCCGAAGAGGCGCGCATCTGATCTCCTCTTCCACCTCCTCCTACGCCTTTTCTTCCTCCTCCTCTTCTTCTTCTTCTTTTTCTTCTTCTTCCTCCTCCTCTTCCTCCTCCTTCTCCTCCGCCTCCTCTTCCTCCTCCCTCGCCGACCCGAGCTGGAATGCGGTGACCGAAAATGGTGCGCTGGTTTCGGTGAGGATGGCCCCGGACGAGCCCCATCTCCTCCTCATTACTCCATGTTGGATTTAGTGAGCGCAGACAGAGAAGAGCGAGGAGGAGGAGGAGGAGGAGGAGGAGGAGGAGGAGGAGGAGGAGGGGGGGGGGGGGGGGGGGGACCCGAAGGACTGCAAAGTCACGTGTATTAACATATAATAATAATAACGAAAACAATGGTAAAAGTAATAAATAATCATAATAAATAATAGTATTAATAAAAACAATAACCAACCTTGTAAACATGTGAATGTAACTACTAGTGACATATTAAATTGATTACTTTTGGATTCACTTTCTTCTCTTATTTCTCAAACTAGACAATAAAGCTGAAAAGTCCTAAAAATACAGTATAATGAAACCAGTCAGTAAACACAACACTGCACTTCACACTTACTCAAGTTCTTAAAGTCTTAACTTGAAACAGAGCAATATAACAATTTTTTCATTCTACATACAGCCTTATAAGCTTTTACTTATAATGATATTGTTGATTTTAACCCCTTTTGGTCACTGCACTTGAATAGTTGTAATTTAATTTAATATTTGTTCTCAGTTACAATAACATTTCCCTGTGGTGTAACTCCCCAACTATACTCTGCTATTTGTAGAAATTGGCTAACACGTTAATATGTTGGAGATTAGCATAAAGTAGAAGCGTTAATATAAACAATTGAAACACTTAAACAAATAATGGCAGCCAACAATAGTAAAAGTCCTACAATATTATTCTAATAGCAATGATACAAGTAGTCAACAATTTAGACTTCTACTTGTACTGAAGTGAAAGATCTGAGTAACCTATTGAACCTACAGAAAATATAAAAACCTTTTATTCTATAATACTTGATTCTCAGGTCTGATAATTGATTCTATAGGACTGACAAGAACCTGCTAATCATTTTTCTTAATAAGAGCCTCAGTTTATTTCCCCATCAGTTTATTATCAGCTGTCCATCAGAACAACAAGCCACTGCTCTCCTTCTGTCACATTTATAAAACACTGTGTTTTAGTGACACCTTTTGGCAGAGGCATGTCACTGCAGCTGCACTTCACATCTGCTCCACATCTGTCCTCACTATAACAATCCTGAGTGTTTATTTGAGTAGAAATATCATGGACGTTATACTTTATATTTCTTAGACCTTATTTAACTGTGACTGTCTTTTCTGTGTTTTTATTTGGCCTCGCTTTATTTGGACAGTCCAGAGCAGATAGACGTCATGTCCAGGGATTTTAATACATATCTACCGAGCTTCGGGTGATTTTCGGTCATGTAAAAACTACTGAAGAGAATCTCAGCAGACAATATGAAGATCCATCTTATATCTCAAATGATTCACTCGTGACTAAAATCTCTTTTTAGATTTAGAATATATACATTTCAAAAGCGGAAGATACAGTATATAGAGTATTTCTTGAATACCCATTACATTATATGTTACTTGTTAGATGCTTTTATCCAAAGCGACTTAAATACTCAATACTGTGGCCAATCCCCACAGGAGCAATTTGGGGTGAAGTGTCTTTCCCAGAGACACAACGACATGCTGACTGCAGTGGGGTTTGAACCTGTACCCCGAGAGCCAAACACCAACGCACTAACCCACTGTGCCACACGCCTCCATACACTGAATTGAAGTCACTTTAAAGTATGAAACGCCAACATACAACCAACAAAATGTAAACATGGGATACCATTAACATTATAAGTTGCCTTTGAGTATGAAACACTTGACTTGAAAGATGGTTAGATGCTGCAAAAATAGTTTTAGATTTTTTATTTGACCATTCATCCATAAAAGGTTGTTTTGAAGTCTCACTTTTTTCACACTTTGTTCTGTCATTTCTTTATTTAGTTTTAGAAAAAATTGTGTTATTAAAAAACCAATAGACTTTTGGGGATATTGGGAAACAGTATAAGAAACATTCAATATTTGTTTTTGTAATGGTATTGATTAGGGTACTCTGTATTTAAGTATAGGTTTTTTTAAAACATGTTTCTAGAGTCATACTCTGAGGTTTTATCAAAGAGAAATGAATGAAAAGCATCAGACTGGTTTTTTGTTTATTTTCAAATGATTTATTATTCTTTGCAGTATTAGCTTTTATTTGATAATAACATAGATTTTAAATTATATAAATTCTATCTATTTTTTGCTAAAAGGTTGAAACTGTTTGGTTAATCTATTATGTATTAATGTAAACCTTTGTTCTGCACTTTTATTTTGAAATTCTAATTGAGGCGCTGTGTCTTTAAGAGGCGGGACATCTGTGTGCTCACTTCTCATTGGATAATAGAAACATGTTCAGCCATCTTTTGGTGTATATAAAGACTGTGGGTGTTTCTCAATGTCGAGGAAAGATGCTCCAGAGCCACTATTTCAAGCATACTACGTCATCGAGTCCCGCCGAAGGACTGTTCCAATGTCCAGGATACTTGGAATTCTACCGAGGCAGGCGTACTTCATAGCGGGAAATTTTGAGGCTGCACATGTGTAGTCTTAAAATCCCCACAATGCTTTGCGCACGGACCAATTTCCAATTATTTGGTGGAAATCGCGCTCCATTTAAGGCGGGGCCTCTCATATGACGCACACCTGCACACCTGTTAGCCTGTTCCATAATTCTTCGTTTTCCGAGGCTAGGAAGGATTCTTGCCTCGCTTCTGAAGCAACTAACTCGGAAGACATGTGCTACCAAGCAAGCATCCTTGACATTGAGAAACACCCAGTGCTTTTTTCCTGCTCTGTAAAACACTGTAATGAAGACCATGCATGCTGAAGGCTGTAAGTAGAATAAAGTGAAAACTCTTTAGTGCTGATTGATATTTTTGCACATGTTGTACCAACACATCCTCACTCCCAGGTCGGCCTATGTTGACGTTATGTCAAGTCCCCTGTGTCGGCTTTTTCCAACGCAAGGGGGGGGCCCTTAGCGTCCATTTTCAATGCAAGGGGGGGGGCCCTTAGCGTCCATTTTTAGCTTTCCGGGATGTCCATATGCTTCTATGGACGCTCATGGAAGCACGGCATTCGTTTGTGTCGACTGCCCTTAAAGGCAATGTGAGCGTCCATTCTCATTGGATAACGGAGAATTGTACACCCGGAAGTAAGTATTCCCCTTACTGTCGATTGATTTTACAGTGATATCTGCACTACTCATCGACTAAAAAACACCAGATTATCCTTGTTAATTACACAACATTGATTGGTTTAAATTGTGTGCAATGCTTTTGTATTTTTCCCCTTCGATTCGGAGAAACAAATATTTTTTCGGAGTAAAGGATGGCAGAAGACACTACACTACCCAGAATCCCCAGCTATCGTTTGGACTACACCATGTGCTCTGTTTGACAAACCCCGTGATAGTCCTCAAGCTCTGTGATTGGAGAGTGTGCTCCGAGGGTTACGCCGAGCCTCGAACAGCACTTGAAATGGGATGGAACCACGGCAGACTGTCCAAAACTGGATTTGAATGGGTCCACCGCGTCCCCCCTCCCCCACCCTGTCCCCAGAACTACACATGCTAGCTATTCTGTTTCGCAACATGCTCTCTATCTATGGCACGTCTCTACTGGGAGTTGTAGTTTTAAAAGACGTTTTCGTATTTCCCATAATAAGAAGTTGCCAGTATTAAACTGTGTACATCCCTGGAGGTTTAGGGGTTAGGAAACACTCACATTTAAAACATATAATTAATAAATGGGTGAAAATTACTTGTGCCTATAATGGGCAGCATTAATATATATACACACATGCCAGCTAAGGTCAGAAGAGCTTTATTTAACAGCTGGTCTTATGTTTGTGACCCCTGTTGTTAATTGATAACATTACATTACATTACATTAATTGATAAGCCTGAAACATGCACTTGTCAAGGTTCAGAGGCACATTTTGCAAATATGGCAGTAGCCATCGATCAGCTTAAGATAAGATATACTTTATTGATCCCAAGTTGGAACATTTGCATTACATCAGCATGTGTAACAGTTGTAAATATGCAGTGGTGTTTATTTGTAAATCATTTAGTATAATCACACAAATTCTGTGTTTTATATTCAACAATTCTGTGTTCTTTATTTATTGATTGTTCAATACCTGACAAGGCCGGAGATGAAATATCTACATACATCTTATAAGAGTATAAAATACATTATGTATAATATCAGTTAAAATAAGTGCTTCAACATAGTTAACATTGCTGGAGGTATGCACACATATTGATAGATGTCTTGTAATTTACTATTGAGGAACCTGCGACCCAAGTTTTTCATTCAATTTATAACTACACCGTAGTTGTGTGGGCCTATATGACATGTCAATAAACCTTAGAAAATCTTGAAATCTTGAAAGGGATGTGCAAAATAGTCATTATATACAGTCTTTAATGAACTATTAGTAGAGAATAACGAGTAATGAATATACTTTATAGGGATCCTATTAATATCTAATAATAAAAATAATGAAATTCAATAACATGCTTTAACCACTAGGTGTCCCTTTATATCAGCTGTGCACCTTTATGGTGTAAATACAGCCTATCTACCAATTGGATCAAATATAAAAGTCAGCCGAATTAGTGTTGATACTGCAAGGAGACGTATTGTGTGAAAATAAATGTAAGATGTTGTTTAATGGCTGAGATATTTATGATCCACGTCACGTTTTCAGTTCCTCACGTTTGTCTAGAAGTCTTCTCATCAGGGCTCTATAAATACAGAACTACGGCAGATATGTAATATTTAATGCAGCCGAACCGTGTATTACAATGCCGTTATGTGATGACTTTCAAAGAGAAAAGCAAGCACACTCGGAATAAAGTATTATTTTATTTTAAAAAAATGTTTTCGGTCTGTTTCCGGTATTTGTTAATGACGATGTGCTGTGAGATGTGAGACTGGAATTGCACAGGGGAAAAATAACGTAGGCTATCTTTAGATGCGGATTTTGTTAAACTAATATGTTTGCGCTGTGGACCAACACTATACATAGACTGGGAAGGGGGTAGCAATAAAGATAACACCATTAAAC